TACTTACCTATCAATGGGTAGATAAGGTTCACGGCTTATAATAATAATCTTTCCGTTATATCCATCCTAAATTTAATGAAAATACTAGTAATGATATTGTTTCCACATAACAACATGTATTGAAGTAGTAAATAAGTACTTCACGAAGCTTCTCTGCTGCAGCGTTTCCAGAAGCGCCACCGCCGATAATTATTACGGTGCGATCATTTAACGGTACTCCAGAAGAACACTTTGGAGGTCTTCTGGAATTTTTAAAAGCTAATTATAATAATTATAACAGGATTCGCATATAATTCATCGGTTAAATTGAGTAATTAATTTAGCAGTTAGTAATTTAATATGTGTGTTACTATCATACTATCTTCGTCAGCTTCAACGTAGATGTCATCACTTTTTATGGTAACCTGTGTTCGATGAACGATCACGTGGTAAAGTAATGGATTAACAGTCTTCGATAATTAAAAAACTGTATCGTAAGTACGTGCATATGTATGCTACCTTATATTTTTGAATATTATCCAATCCAGGAGCATCCTCTAAAAATAGAAAAACGGTCAAACACTGTTTATTATGATATTATGATATAATAAAAATCAAAAATCAATCGTTACCTATATCACCGGTAGTAATATTGAAACAAGCGCCATGCCAAGGACTAAACAAATATTTGAGTTAATAAAGAATTAAACAAAAGACTAACTCAAAATGAATATCTCCTTGCCAAGTTACGCGACCATCGCTTGAAAGTACTCCTGAAGCAAGAGGAGCCTACAAAAACAGAATTCATAATTTATCATTACAAGAAGAGATAAAGAACGATCGCATCCGTTTTTTCAACCAATTGTTTAAATAGCTTACTCCATAATGAGTACATTTATGAGAAGTTGCGTATATTTGTCCATTAACTTTTGATAAAAGAATTTTAATGTTTCCACCGACAGTAAATTCTTTCCTATTTATTAGAGTAAGGAAACAAGATAAATAGCAAGTCGGGAAAACCATAAAAATATGAATTAAAATCAGTATACATTTGACCGTCTCCGATATCAGAAACCTTTGCGACATTGTACTCGACCATTGTGTGGTAGTGTGCGAGTTTGAAAATGCGAAGAAATGTCAAACGTATATTTGAGAAAAAAATCCGCGAATTAAAATTAATTGGAAAAACCATTCATTTAAATAAATTCAAATATAACCATATCGATTTTAATAACAGGATTTATAAGACCGAATTTTTTAAATGGCTTAGACTTGCGTGTAAAAACTGGTTTGCGGCGGTGTTATGTGCTATCGTACGTAGCATAGCGAACATTCATTGTAATTGGTTAGATTTTGTTGATCATCTCGTGATTTTATTTGCTAATTACCTAATCA